TGCACTTCCCAGGTACAACAGCCACCACCTCAGAAAGGGAATATAGGAAATGAAAGCAATTAGTGGTTGTTTGTATTACAGGGATTGTTTGGACTATTTAATATCCCTATCAAAAGATGCATTATTTGTTGAACAGTCCTAAAAGCAAATCAAAGAGAAACCTGAAGAACACTGCTATCCTTTGCCACTGTGAGACATCTAAAAGCCAGTGAAAAGCTGTGCTTTTACCAATTGAAACGAAAATCACAGAATCATGTACTCACTTAAATTGGGAAAGACCCCTAAGATCATTGAGTCCAAGCACCAATAAGCACTGCCAAGCCCAACTCCCACTCAACACCCAGCACACGGCGTTGACCACTAAACCACATCCCCAGGTGTCACATCCACACCCCTGAGGGCCAGTATTGGCTTTCCTATGACCCTGGCTGCTTGATCTCAGCCCAGTTAACAGCACCTGTGCTTTTGAACCATGAGACAGCTACAGGAGCACGAGAGAAAGGTGGTGTGCTTGTTTCAGTCCTGTAGAAAAGCAGCTTGTCCCAGGCTGTGACTACCAGCCAGTTTTGTGGCTGGCACTGGGATGGGTCAGGGCTCTGAAGGCTGCAGGAACACGGAGATGCTCCCATGGGCAGCATTATTTCCACAGCAGCAAGTTTCAGGAGGGACAGTGAGAGCCAAAGTTACAGATAACACAGTCAGCAGTGTTTGATCAGTTAATGAATGCCCATGATTCAAGGGGACTGATTCCACAACCCCAAAATCCTCTTCTGGCCTGGTATCCCCCTGCTACTAATTGGCTCTACTTTGATAAAGACTTTAACTGCAAGTTAAACTCTTAGTAGTCTTCATCTACTGGAAGAAACAGTCATGTGGCTGTTTCTAATCCTGTACTGTGACTTGTAAAATCAGAAGAAAAGAAAGATGTTAAAAATATTGAGTAAAATCTAAAGCTGGAGCAGAACTGGCTTTTATCTGTTCATTCTAAACTGAGTTCACTAGATACAGTAGTATTTCTTTGAATGGAAAAAATAAGCCTCAAAGATTTTATAATGAATACCCCTTGCACACATTTGTACAATGCAGCCTATAAAAATGGGAATGAGAGATGTCGTTTCTAAACACAGACCACGGGACACTTTTCTCACAACTCCAATAACAAGGTATAATTTTCTATCTGATCCTATTTGGCTTTTCCATAAGGAACTGTAAAAAACCTCTCTCAAAATCCTGGCACCAATGTGTGCAATAGGAATCCTAATGCTGCCTCTGCTGGTGCAGAATTTCCCTCTTCAAGAATAAAGCCTTGGGAGGAAAGAAATAGTGTGTTGGTTTTGTGGCTGAGCCAGCTATTTAACTCCACAAGCCAGCAGAAACAAAGGGAAACCAAATAAAACTACAAAGCTACAAATGCTCCTTTTGGACAAATGAGCCAAAACTCTTTTGACATTTATGGCTCTACACATCCTTACCTGATAAGTCATACAGAAAGCTGCAACTGCAGATATCAGCAATCACATAAATAAATTTTATTATGTTGTATGTACAATACTAGTACAGTTAGCTACACTAATCATGGGAGGAGGGGACGTTGCTATTTTTTTCCTGTCCCATATGGTAATAATTTTGCATGATTGAACTGTTATGATCTAAATAAAAGTACACATTAGCTCTAAGATACATTGCAAATACATTAAATCTTCCCTGGAGTTTTAGCAAATACGTGCTTTTTCTATCATGCATTTGGAATTAGTAAAGGAATCTACACTGGGCCATAGGATTTATAAATAGATTTGGCTTCCTCTGCAATACTTTATGGGCAATTATTTCAGAAATGAAGACGCAGAGCCATGGATAAATAAAATAATTGCAGCTGATCAGGCTTTATTTACTGCTATCACATTTCCCTGACTGCTACACTTCCCTCATTTGATCCACTAGCCTGAATCAATGACCAGATGAAGAGCTGTCAGTTAATGTCAAACACAAAGGAAAAAAAAGATGCCAAAGGCTGATTCTAATTTCCCCATTTCCAAATTCTGCCTGGGATTTTCTGGAGCTGGCTTGCTCCCTGGATAAATTCAGTGTGGAACTGGGAGGCTGGGAAAGGGCAGAGTCAGTCAGATGAGTTCTGCAGTGTGCTCAGCAGTTTTCCAGGGAGCACATTTTGCTGTGGCTGCCCTGTAGAAGTCACTGCCAAAGGTCTGGAGAGCTCCCTTCCCATGAGCAGATGCCCAGCTGTGTCAGGGAAGGGCTGGCATGGCCTCTGCTGTCTGCTGCAATCCCACTCAAACAGGTATTAATTCAGTTTGGAAGACGCTGAGTACAGTGATGTGTGGCAAAAACAGCTTTCCAGGCAATTCCAGAGAATCAAATGCAAGCAGAGTCTGGGACTGGCCTCATGTCTACATAATACCCTTCATGTACCTCACACCATGCAGCTTTCAGTATTCAAGATCTCAGACAGGACGGGAAACTCTGGATTATCAATATTCCTTGGGATCAGGCTTGAAATCCTACACCTATCTAATAGTCGTGTTACCTGGGCTTCATGAAGGAGATTGCTTGTCTGAAGAGGCTTATCAAGTCATGAGGAAAAAAAAGTGTAATTCCTGCTGCTTTGAAAGGCCACAGGGCTGATAACACAAGTGGAATACGTGGGATGCACCAGGTGGAGACAACCTGACTTCCCACAGACAACTTCCTTCAATGAACTCATCTCAGAAGTAGCCACCAGGATGACATTTTATGGCTCTCAAATTAAACTACCTAGAAAAAAAATTTCTGCCAGCCCTGATGAGCAGAAATGTCTCTGAGCTACCTACAGCCTCCTGTCCTGGGAAGGAAGATCCAGCTTTGTGAGGCCTGGATAAAAAGGGTACCCTATAGAAAAGGGGAAGCACAAGAAACATCATGGCAGCTGTTAAGGGCTTCCATGTCAAGGATATCTTAAGGATTGCCATGTCTTAAGGCTGTCAAGGATCTTAAAAAGATCCTACAAGCATAAGTCTCATAGATTTAAGGCTTGGGGGCTTTTTTGTGTGTGTGTGTTGTTTGGTTTTTTTTTTTAAAAATTTTTATTTCATTCTAGGCTGCTTATTTCTGTATAAAGAAATTATTCTGCAAACCTCTCCAAGAACTTCATCAACCACAGTCCATAAGGTGGAGAAAGAGGCCAGTGGGACCAGATGCCAAAGGAGGTAGGAAGATTTATGCTAGCTGAGCATCTGGCTCCCTGTTCCCTGTTATCAGAGTGAAGACAAATGCTTGCAAACAGCCTTATTCCAAAGCACTAATGCGTTCAGCCACACTCAGCACAACAGCAGCAGCGCTGCTCCTGGAAGGTGTGCTGCCTAGAAAAGCAGCTGCTGACTGCTTCTTCCAGGGGTTTAGGCAGTAAAAAGAGCAGTGAGAAAAGAGGGTGTTGCTGCCCCTCAAACCAAGCCAAGGGAATGATTAAGACATCATCTGTTATTGTTCCAGCGGGTGGTAGGAATTGCTCCTACACAGGAACGTGGCTACACCTCTATTGTCATCCATCATCTTGCTGAGGCTGTGCATTGCACAGTATTTTGATCTGACCTCATTTGCATTCCCAGAATTACAATGTCATACCAATGATAAAGGCTGAGATTATCTGCATCTGAGGGACTGGAGAAGGAGCACATCACACACTGAAAAGCCAACAGTGCAACCACGACTCTGCCAAATGCTCAAAGGAAGCCTGAATCCCCCTGATTCTTGATTTTGCATGTGGGACAAGTCACAATTAGGAGTTGTGCCTGTGTGCATCAAACCTGCAGATAAAGGGGACAGGCTCATGCACTGGTGATTAAACCCTCAGGGAGAGGAAGGACAGGTGCTGGAGTAGATGCTGTCTGAGTTGCCAATATTGTCTGTGCTTCCTCCAACCGCTCCCAGGCAGCCAGTGATCCACTAGAAACATGGAGAAATTTGTGTGCAATTTGGGAAATGACACAGAGGCATTTGGCCTTTGCACAGATGCCTTGTACTCTCTGGAAGCTCAGGATTTTCTTGTGATTCCCAGGATAGAGGCACATAGGGAGGGTCCCTGCTCAAACTTGGGTTGAAGGAAGGTCAGATCAATTTTTTGACCCTTGTGGCAGTAAAATAAAATCAAGTAAAATCTGTACTTGTCTGAAGTCAATCATCTTGGAGGAAATGAACTGAACTTCCCTACAGTGGGAATGAAATAAGGAAATGAATTTATGATTCCAGTGGTACCCTTGACAAAGACACTGAATAGCTCCATTAAACTTTTCACAGCCCCAAGTGTCTTTGCTAAGCCCTCTACAATGAGCACAGAGTAATTTTCTTTCTTACAACACAAACATACAGGTCAGGATTCAAGAGCCTTTTTTGTACCTGAGTAACTTCAACACATCTCAATGGGATCCAGGCAGAAATCAAGGCTGCATAATCCTAGTTCTTCCCTTTCTCTCCAGAGTCTTTCCCTTGCAGTACCACTCTTGGATAAACACATTTTCACAGACTCAGCATAGACCTAACCAAATGACTAATACAACTCTTTAATACAAACAACAATAAATCAACTGATTAAATTCTAATTTATCAGACAAATACTCTTTAGCTCTTCCCAAAGCTGTTTTGAATCATCTCTCTTGTCTGGCCATGTTCCAGAGGAGCACTGACACTAGATAAAGCTCAGACCTGTGGAATAAGTTTACATGAGATAGAAATGCTGAAAACATCCTGTATTTATGATGGGAGATTTCACAGAGATCAGAGTGAATAACATCCCTGAGAAGACTGCAATGTCTCTGAAGCCTCCTCAGCATCTCCTCATGTCCTCCCCTAGCAGGACAAGGGGTCAACAGACCCTGAAGGTTGAGGCTCAGCAGCAAGGCTCAGGAACCAGACACATTAACCTTGGGAGATCCTACAGCAAACTTTTAACAGCTTAGAAAATGGCCACTCCACCACAATTCCACTTTAAATCACAGCCTTTTTTTACTTACTTCATTGGTTTAAACAATGCTTGTCCATAGTTCTGGAATGTCATGATCAGCTTCAGCTGGGTGCCTCCTGATTTCATTGCTGTGGGGGCAAAACACAAAACAGCTTTAAAATGAGACATGCAGATCTGCTTACACTCAGCTTCCTTCAAACCAAATCATATCAGTTTTTCTGCATCAGTTTAGCACTGTGGTATCAGAGCATCAAGCAGGATGATGATGGACAACAGATTATTCAGCAGAGTACAGAGAAGGGCTTTGAGCTGCTGACCAGGACTAACATGGATTGTATTTCCTGACACTTTTTTGCCTTTTTTGCCTTTTTCTGGCCACCATGGGCTCCACAAGCACCCCAGATAAGCAGCACCTATAGGAGCAGACCTCTGGAGTCTTGTTTTCTCCATCTCTCATTGTTTTTGGAGTCCCTTTTAACCAGGGGCTGACACTGGGGAAGGAGATGGGGGTGCTTTCAAAGGCAGCTGCAGCTGGGATGTACAGCCCAGTGCACAGCAGACAGCTCCTTAATTAAAAGTATGAGCAGATACTGTAGCAATCTCTGATCTCTGCTGCGATTTTAATAACTGTTTCTGAGCAGTAGAGATATGTAAATTCACCTCCTCTGTGCACAATGGAGATGTATCCAAGCCCAGCTGTTAACTTCCAGGGATCCCGAGGTGGCTCATACATGAGAGCAGAGCTGTGCAGAGCAGCCTGGCTGAAGAGGACAGTGAAGGTGACAAGGACAGTGACTCTGCTCATCTCCCAGCTGGGAGCTGATGGGAATTTAAGACTGATACTAATTCATACCATTCTGAAAAACTTGGACAATGTCACAGTAACAGCCAGATTATAGTGGTTTTAAAATTAGGATTTTTTAAAATATATATATAAGACATCATAAAAATGCATTTTACTTGATGACAAGGCTACTTAAAAAAATATACTTCAGAAAACAGCTGCTTTTCTGCTGCCTCAATCAAAAGCATCCTACTAAATAAAATGACCTATAGCCTGACTCCTGAATGCACCTCTGTGTTGGGAAGGCAGGCCATGGCCAGCAGGGCTGTGTGGATGAGTCAGTCTTTTAAAGATGCTTTCTAGGAATCATCAGATAATCAATCCCTCTCTTTGCAGTTCTGACAAAAGCCAAGTCAACTGGAGAACTATAAAATGTCAAGTTATCTTGCTCTGTAAATTCTGCCTGAGAGTTGCCCTTGTTCCACCCATACAGCTTGGACATGTTTTTTCTCTAACCAATGCCATTAGCTGCACATCTTTTTAATTACTCATCTCTGTGCCTTATCACTGATAGGTCATCATCTCTCTTTCAGCACTTGTAACCTATATTTTTGCAACAAAATGCTATGCAAATCTGGTCAGTGTAATTACAGTTCTCCTGGAATAAAATCCCTCCTGCCCTGCTGTTTTGCTGATCCCAGCCTTCTCTTGCCTTTCCACTTTACCCCAAAGGAACAAATAAATAATTAGAAATTAAAAGGCATTAAGCAATTTGCACTGACCAGGTAAAGCAGAAGCAGAGGGCTTTCCTGGATTAAACTCCCTCCCTTGTGCAGGACAGGTCATTTTATCTGCACCTGGGGGCAGGAGGAGCACAAGGCTTTTTCATGCCCAGCTCAGAGCCTGAGGACAATGAGAAGCAGAGAACCTTCCAGTCCAAACCCTACCTGTGGTGCCCTGGGACCACTCTGGAAGCAGCCCTGGCCAGTGTGGGCAGCTGGAGCTGCTCTTGCCCCATGGCCACAGGGACACAGGGCAGTCCTCACCACCTTCACTGCCCAGCCACCACCACAGTCCTGGCATTTCAAAGAAACATGGCATCACAGAATGGTCTGGGTTGGAAGGGACCTTAAAGATCCACTAATCTAACCCCCCTGCCACCACAGCAATGCAAAGAAGAAAAAAAAGGAACTCCCTTCTCTAAGCACAGGGTTTCAGATACTAAAAGGACTGGTTACTCAGCTAATTGAAGCCACACAGATAATGATTTTGTTAGCAGCCAAACTCAACAGCGAGGATGTCATCACCAAGCAGGGAAATGTATGAAGAAGATTAACAATTCAGAATAATTCTTCCATGAGACACAAAAGCCTGGTTTCCTGTCAGAAGGAACTGAGCTGAAGTAAGACAAAAGCATCTCCCTTGTGTTTTTAGATCCATCTTATTGTATTGCCTTAATTGGTTGCACCAGTAGCCTCACCCCAACACAAGTTTTGCTGGCACAAGTTGTGTCTCCACGGCTGCTGGGAGCAAACTTTGGAACTCTGAAAACCAGAGGGGGACACTGGTGGGAATTGTGTCCCATTGTGCTTCATGGCAGGGCAAGGTGGAACCCACATGGGTCATGGAAAACAGCCCAGTGCCAGAGCTCCACCTTGGCTTTCCCCATTATCCAGACTCACATGCAGCTATTCCCACTTTGTCTCCTCCTCCAGTGCCACAGATGTGCTGGCCAGGCTGGGGGTCATGCAAGGCCACCCTCCAAATCCAGGCTGGCTGGAGCTCAACATTAATCCCCACAGAGATGGAGACACCTAAGCTTGGACTGTTCAGCTCAACAAGACCTTGCTGTACCTGCAAGCAGCCTTGGAGCAGTCCAGGGTGCCCAAACTTTTGGGAAGAGCAGATCTCACTGGAGATGATCCACTCTAGGTCAGATCATTTCCCCTGTACTAACTTAGCATCACATCAGCACTCTGGCTCCCCTCTCGCTTTCTGAGCTGTGCTCCTCCAGGAACTCCCTTTCCTGCTCAGCCTCAGTTAAACATGTCCCTCTGGCCATTGTGGCCTGTCATCTTCCAAGGGTCTGTCCCAAACAAACATCTGGAGACATCCTCACGCCTCTATCTGCTGCCCACAGGCGCATTCCTGAAGAATGCACAGCACATCCAGTGAACTGGAGGGTGCTGCCCCATTGCAATCTGTCACATCTGTGATCAGCAGCTTCAGGGACTTCTACAAAAGCCTTGCAACACAAGGCTGTGCTGACTCCAAAGGAACCACTAGTCACACTCTCAATTCAGCTTCTATTTTTTTGAAGTATTTTAATATACTGTGACCACAGGTCACAAACAGCTCTGTAAAGGCTTTATAAACCTGCTAGCTCACAGCAGGTCCTTCAAATCAAGTCTCACACAGCTCCTGGATGTACTGGCACACTGCTAAAAACAAATCCCAATGTCATCATTACTTTTCATCTTCAGGCAATTCAAAGCCCCTCTTTTCCCTCCAAAGTAGAAGGAGATGGAAAGCAGCATTAACCTTTCCTGTTAACCCAGTGTAAGGGCTCTGGGGTGTGACCAGAAATCTTCCTAACTTCAGGAGGCTTTGCAAAAAATTCCCTGAGATATCTTTTTGCTTGAATGTTTGGGATTAGAGTCTTGTCCAAAGATTAGTGAAATTGGTGGGATTCCTTCTGTTTTTTCTGACAGACTTTGGATCAAGCCTGCAGAAATCCCCTCTCCACTCACATCCCTGAGCCTGCTGTCATTCCCACCTGCCACATCTGCTACTTCCCCACCTTGTCACCTCACCAACAGCAGTCCTGAATCCCCACCCTGAGCCACAGACCCCAACCAACACAAAAGATGTCCCAGCTATCATCTCTCACTCATCTGTTCAGGTTCCTGAACAGCAGGGTTCCTGGCTACCCTCTGGTACTGGCAATGCTGCCCAGAGGGATTTGACCCAGATGGATTTGGAATTCCAACTGGGCTGGCTTTCCAGCTCTTCTGTTTTGCTCCATGATAGCCCTGATCCCACCAGCCTGTCTAAACCATATGGTTTTCTGATGGAGAGAGAGACTCCCAAGAGGATCTCTGAACTTTTTCTGGTTCTTTTGGTCAGAATCCAACAAACATTTTAAAATGTACTTAATTATGCAGTGCTAGTGCCTGAGAAGTGAGATACAGTCACAGCCTGGGATGCAGTTAACATCTGAAACAGAGGATGCTCAGATCCATTTTCGATTCCTATTTATAGCTCAAGCTTAAATCTAACATAAACATGTTGATTGGCTCTAACACGTAATGCTCTGCCCCAGGCTGGAGACACAGCCCTGTAAAAGCTGTAAAAAACATATTTAAAAATAAATTCAAGCCCTCATCATCTCTTGGTTTGTCCTTGTTCAGTCAGTTCTGCTAGGTGTTTTAAAGGACTTTTTGGCTTAGTCAAGAAAGTAAAAGATTTCTGCAGGGGAAGAGATCTGTGAAATTATTCTAAGGCTTTGCTGTACATTTTAAGTCCCCTCATTTCATCTGGAGCTGTACATTAAATCAATCTGTTGACTCTTGGCAGATTCATTGTTTCCTTCCGCAGTAAATCAAAGATGCAACATTTCATTGTTTTTCACAAGTTCTCAAAAGCACTTCTTCCTTTTCTTTGGATGAAATTTTCATGATTTTCTTTAGACCCAGAATTTATGCTCAATATTTAACATCTTGTCTTTCCCTTTTCTCTTTTCTTTCCTTGCCTTGAAGCAGAGTCCACCTCAGGTAATTGCATCTTTTATTCCCGGTGTAATCTCACACACTCGCTTTCTAATCGCTGCCTGTACAAACTGAAGGCATCACAGATTCACAAATTACCTCAGCCAGGTAATGTTTCCAAGCCTTTACAACCAGAGAACTTAAAGAATCGAAAAAATAAGTCCCAGCTACTCAGAGGAATTACAAAATCTATTCTGCTTACAGGGAATCTCCCTGGACAGCAAGACCAAGCCCACAGTGCCCCTCCAACACACCATGCCAGAGCTGGAGTTAAACTGCTGATAGTGCTGCCACAATTATGCACAGACATCTTGTAAATATGCAAGAAAATAGCTAACTGTGGTTATTTATGCATGCAATAAGCAGCTATGAAAGGCAAAGGAAATGTGCAATTGCCTGTGCATGTGCTTCTGAAAACCAGGCTTCAGTGCTCAGTGGAAAAACAATTCTCTCTAGGCTCCTATTTATGGCAAGAGGAAATTTTCAGTGAATTAAATCAAATTAAGAGCTATCCCTTTATGCTGAACAAAATGAATAGGAAATATGTATATATAGAGAGATGCAGGGCACAGAAACATCCTCAGCCCAAGCCTGGGTAACCCTGTCCTTTTCCAGGCCAGCTCTAGGTGTCACTGTGGGAGCTGGATGGGATGCTCCTTCCCATCCATGGATTTGTTCCATTTAAACTTCAACATCAAGAAAATGTCACCTTGGTGCTCCCTGCTCTTGGGAATTGCTCCTGTCACCGTTTTCATTTTAAAATACCACTGCACATTACAGAGTCGTGTGAGTGGCTCTAGCAGATGTGGGGGATCAGTCTGGTCCCCACTCTCACCCACAAATAAATGCAGGGTGAGCAGAGAAATCACAGTGTGGCCAAGAATGCTGCTTTGCTGCAGTTTGGATCTAATTACTGTAGGTATCAGGCAAACCATCTAATTCTATTAGAGCCAAAGTAAATCTGAGCACTGGGAAGGAACTGGATAAAGCCATATCCCATTTCATCTAATGCACGTTAGCCTGTATATTTAATTGTCCTGCTTGCTAAAAGAAGCCTGAAGACTAGGCATTATCAAGGTTCCAATTTATTTTATACTCCTAACCTGACATCTTTCCAGCTGCCTTAAAAATAAAAAAAAGAGCAAAAAACCAACCCAGCAGAATTTGAGCATAAGGAAAAGAAACAAAGCTAATTAGAAGATAAGCAGGAATATGCAAAGAATGTAACAGCCTATAAATGTCCTTTGGTCAAATATATTACTCTTTATTAATCAGCTTACATGCTTTTGAATCCCTCTGCTGCTCTGCAGTAAAGCTGAAAACTGGCAGTAATTACTTTAAAGCATGTATTTTTAAACATCCAAAGAATTTTCAACCTAAAATAAGAGAAGTTGCATTGTGCAAAAAATAATTTTTAAAACTACGTTAGCAATATGCTCTTTCTTTCTTTGCAAGCTGACAAAGCTCCTGAATCCCCACAGGGTCAGGCAGTGAATGCTAACACCAAAATTCAGATCCTGGCATCTCTATATTGGCAAAAGTCCCCTTCCATTTCCATATACTTGATTTTAGACTGGGATTTATGTGTAGGAATCATTCCCTGTCAGTTCCCATAGTGGCCAACAACAACACCAAATACACCTCATGGTTTAATTTATGGAAATTATCCTGATTCATTGCTAGAAACCATGGCTCTGTGTTTTTGTTAGAGGCGCAAGAGGCCCTGCCATGCTCTTAAGAGCCTTGTTCAAACATTAACAGAGACAATCCCAAAGGGAATCACTAATAGCAACCATAAATCTTCCTCTGTGGTCCCATGGCCCTTTCCCCCCATTGATCTGAAAGCTCTATCAAAACCAGAATTAATGGAAACCCCATGACACATCTGTATGACACACTAGGTGAAATCATGGCCCCGGGGAAGTAAGTGGCAAAAACTTCTACTTACATCACCAGGGTCAGGATTTCACTCCCATTTTTTATGATAGTATTTTTTTTTATGCTAGGTCAACTGAAGCAGAGAGAGGTGAAGCCCAGAAGCACAAGTGAACACCAAGCCCAGAAGATCAAGTGAAGAGTGAGGGCTAGATTCCTATTTCTTGCTCCTGCCTCCCTTTTTCTCCCACCGCACTCAGCAGCCATGTGCTACAAACTGCTACAGCCACTGCACTTTGTGCAAACCTCAAGAGATGGGCAGGACATGGCTCCATTGGGCATCACCTCTGCCCCTCTGGGGACAGCTTGGCCACTGCCTGGGCACTGCTGCTCTCTGTGGGGACAGGGATGGGCACAGACTGCATCTGTCCCTCCTCAGTGGATGTGCCCAAGGCACATGTTACAAAGTGCTGGCTCAATCCCCATTTGCGTGTGCCACTAACATTCCAAAAATTGGTGGATATTGAGGGGCGAGGTCAGGAAAGGCAAGGGCTGTATCAGGGAGAAAATCACCCAGGTTGTGTCCATACAATGCCCTCATCACCCTCCAGTGCAAACCAGAGGAGTGTGGGCAGTCTGCTGTTATCTGCAGCATCACCTCCGAGCTGGGGAAGGGAAAACAAGTGGCTTAATGGGCAAACATGACCCCTTAATGACTCACTCTGATCCAGACTTTTGGGAACAGGAAACCCATCACAGGTTAATAAACAAGCCCATGTTTGTCATCTTTTCTGAGCTGCAAATCCACTGGACCTTTGAGTCCAACATGTGGGACAGCACCTGGGTACCACAAACTGCTCTACACAAAATGCTACCCCAGCAGAGCAGTGCACTGAGCACAGCCAATGCTGGGCAAGATTCACTGAGCTGAAGCTCTCCTGTGGCACCCTGCACTTTACACCTACTCCATCCCAAGCAGCTAAATCAGCCCACTCCTGATGACCAAGGATCTCCTTTATTCCTGCTCAGCAGCTGCTGTGATTCACACAATGGAAAATGTAAACCTTAGGGCTGCTTGAGCTATTCTTGCCCAGGCCATTTCCTGCTGAAGCCAGGGGAATTTTTGCCTTGCAGGGTTAAAGACCTGCTGACCTCATCCCACAGTGCCAACACACCATCAGCACTTTCACAGAGCTCCTGCTATTTCATCCCTCTGAAAGGGACGTCGCAACTTTGTGGTCAGCACAAGTAACTCCATTTTCTGCCTGGTGGATGGAAACCGCTGCCTGCGCTGCAACTCCCTACCTCTGGAAACCACGGGGTGCACACTTGTTTAGTATCCCAGGGCTTTCACCTAAGCTTGTGACATTTCTTTCCCTGTGCAGCTACGCAGCTGAATTCAAGAAGACACACATTGCCCTGGAGAAAACATCCCTGGATGGAGAAAAGCCCCGAACAGTGGCACCTTGTTTAACCAGAGCCAAAGGCTGACACGGGCACATCCCTGGTGTGGATTTACAGGCAGAGCAAACAGAGCTGAGCTCTGGCTCAGGCTGGCTTGCCTGGTGCTCCCTGCCATGCCTGGGGAAGCTGCAGCTCCTGCAGCCGCAGAGCCCGCGGTGCCGGATGCTCCCGCAGCCACCGCAGCAGGGCTGCAGGGCAGCCTCTCCTTCCTTGGCAAGGCAGGCGCTGCAAGGCACAGCCTCTTAAATAATAATCAGCCAGTGATACAAATCTAGCTGGTGCAAGATGCTGTCTGCTTCCTGCCATCCCTTTTTTTTGGTCAATGTCTTTATTTTAAATAACCGAAAAGGGCGCTTTCAGCCTGATTGTGACTAAAGGATCTCTGACACAAATAGGGTTTGCCTTGCTGGCAGACTGCAATTATTCAGGTAATACAGAGCTGGCAATATCTCGTTATATTTAGCAGGGAAAATGAGCAAGGAAGTCGGAAAGCAAAGTTGCAGAAACGCTGGAGAGAAGCCATGCAAAATATTAATACTCAAACAACAGTGAGATCCTGAACAAAGTGCAAATAATGATAAAAAAATAACATATATCCAAACATACCAACACTGGTTATCTTTTGGGAGACAAGGTCTTGTAGTAAAGCCTCAATTGCAGGATTATGTCTGGAATACAACTCATACCGATTAATGCCAATGTGGAATTTTAACCAGTTTGGGTAGGAGTCTATGGAGGTTTCTCCAGTTGGCAAAAATTCTTCGTGATGATCTTCATTTTGCCTACCACCAAAAAAAAAAAAAAAAAAAAAAAAAAAAAAAAAAAAAAGAACAAAACAACAAAAACCCAAAGTTGAGGAGAAAGAAATAATGTTACAGTTTGTAACACGCGTCAAGAAACAGGGCTTCAAAATTTGACAACTTGGAAAGGGAAAGAGCTACAGAAGGGAGAGAGGTCCCAGGTTCCTCCCTGCACCAGAAGCCTTCTCCCATCTGGGACTAATGGGGAGATGGATTCTCACTTCCCCTCGTGCTGCCTGATTTAACACCCATGAAAGTCAGGAGGAAAACTCAGCGCAGCATCACTGAGCGTTGGCAGAGGCCCCTCTATGGCAGAAACACAGAGGTCAAGTTTTACCTTGTGTTTAGGTGGCTTTATGTTGTACACAGCTTTTACAGGTCTGACTCGAACAACAGCATCATCCTGAACCTTTATTTAACAGGGATGTGGGGCAGGAAACCAAGGCAGCAGAACCTGACCTGTGGTGCCCAGTGCTCCCACATCCTCCTCCTTCTTAAAGAGGGAGAATGAGAGAAACTGCATCACTGTGAACTGGTTGCTAAAGAAGAACTGGTCTTGCCCCTTCCTGAGCAGTAGGAACCTATTACAGCAAAGAATTAATTAAAATGATCACTACCTTCTGAATTTCACTTTAGTTCTGTGAACTTTGGCTGCAGCCACCAAGAAAAATATGTACAACAGGCAGCTGCATTGTGGATATCAGTGCTGATTTCACTCTTCACCCACTGAACAGACTAACCCATATTTTTGATGCAGAGTTCTCTGTGTTTACAGACATCTCCAGATGTTTAGGCATTTGTGACTTTCTTTTTTTTTTTTTTCCTTCTTCCTTTCAGGGAACCCAAAACTTTCCAGATTATTTCCCTTCACAATCAGTTAGGATTATTAGATGGAAGGGGCCTGGACAATTCACATACTCATGGGGCGGAAATTGGAATTATTTATCCTCTCTTTCTAAAGGTTTAGATCATGCTGGCTGCTCTGCAGCTTGACAGAGCTTTTGCACGGTACAATGCAGCTGTTTAAACATTACAATGTCAGTGTGTTTGGAAGAGGGTGCTGTTGTATTAGACAACCCTTTTGATTTTTCAGTCATTGAATTTCTCAGCATTTCTTAGGAGCCAACAGGGCATACGATTCACAGAGGCAACTGACTGCTTTGAAGGCTGGAGAGCTGCGGAGGTGCAGGGCACTGGGAATTAATTGAGGATAAAAAATGTGGCACACATCAGATCCTGAAAGCGGAAATACCTGCCAGGATGAATGCTTTTATGGTACTAGACCTTGCTTTTGAGAAAAGTTAATGTATTACTGCCTGGCCTCGCTGCTCAGCCCCTTCACCGCTGGCTGGGAGACAGGGAAGGTGCTGGAGAGGAAGGCTCGCTGTGAGCTCACCCTCTTCCTCACACCGTTCTTCTGGCAGCAGCTTCCTCGGCTGCAGCTGGAGATGGGGCAGACCGACCCCTCGGCCCCAGCTCCAAGGGGAAGCTCCAAGGCTCCAGCCTTCCCGTGCTCCTGCGTTTATTCCGTATCTCAGGGCATTTATTTTCCGAAGGAACGCGACCGGGCGAGCCTGTGAACGGTTTCTCTTTCCCCCGGTGACCCCGAAACGCTCGTCTCAAGCCCGTGCCCCACTTCCACCCAGCCGCGACACCCCAAAGCCGCGCTCCCCAGCGAAGGGCAGCGACCCGGGGGCCGCGCCACGTCCGCGGCCACTCACCACTCGGGCTGCTCGGCCGCCCGCGGGTTGAACCTGATGTCGCTGTTGACATTGAAGAGGAGGTCCCCGTCGGCCAGCGGGGGCAGGGCGGCGCGGTACAGCGGGTGCTGGAAGAGCGCGGCCAGCGGGGCGGCGTTGCCGGCGGGGGGCGGCGGGCGCGGCGCCCCGGGGCCGATCAAGCGCCGCGCCCTCC